AGACCATGAGAATATAATAATTCCTAGGCAAATTCTATACTCTGAATGTACACTTAAGTAAAAAGACAGCTGTAAATGGATCTGTATTTGTAGAATATTATAAGGATTTCAACACCAGTTACACTATAACTGAAGTTTCATTATTATCCATAATTTTAATTTCCCTAACTTTTTCTGCATCTTATGAGATGAGCCAGGACATTTAAATATACTAGAAAAACGGAAAATAAAATATTAAGAAATATATTGCATAGAAGAAAAGTAAGAACTAATGAAATTCAAAACATGCTAAAGCAAAAGTATCAATATACACATCTACACAGTAAAAGAAATGTATTTCTGTACCCATTGCCAACTATCTATGACAGGTGAATGGTACAACATTTCACAAAACTTAGTTTAAAAACATGTTACCACAACAACACCACCATCATTCACACACCTGCCAACTCCTTATCTCAGCATTATGGTGCCACAGGTGGTCACAAGATGGTTTGAATGTGGTATGGACAGAAAGATAAGTCGCCGGGATTTTTACTGTGAGAAAAAACAATAACTAATTTTCTTTAACTTGAGAGGATGTTTTCTCAAATAAAACTTACAGCCCCTCAATGTGTTAAAAGCAGCGTGCTTTCTACAAATCTTTTAAAGGTTTCTGTTTCTGTAGAATGTGAAGTGAATGTATTTTACTTTGTGGCACTGAGTATTAGTTCTAATAGGAACATGGCTGTCACCTTTCCATAATGTGATGCAGGATGAAATGAAGCTCCCTGGGAAAACTGTGACAACATTTTGTTGAATGTTTCTTAGAGTCTGACTTCTGTGGTGTCAAGAAGACGTCTAAAACTCTATGGGAATAATCTTTAACAATCTTAGTTCAACACTTCACCGAGACCACTGTAAGAAAATGACTCTGAAAGGACATTGGGGCACAATGTCAGACTTTAAAAACATGCAATTGAGACTCATTTAAATGTGGCACTAAAACTATTTTAGTAAAAAGCATATGATCAGGTATTCCTTTTTATTTCTAGATCACACATATATGATAATAAAATTACACATTATTAAAAAAACAAAAGTATCTCTACAAAAATATATTCAAAAGTTCTTGGATGATTTGATGATTTGATGGATCTCTTATGCAGTGCGAAATTACAAAGGCTTTCCTTTGCACAGTTCTCTACAAGTGTGTATTCACACTTTTCTCTTTCTCTTTAAACTCATCTAGCAGAATTAAGAAAGTGAATGCAAAATCTGAGGAAAACCCATTAATCTGCCCAGGGATAGAAGCATGGAGATGGGAGGTGGCCAGAGTAGGGGATTGAAGAATGCGGGAAGAGGACTTGAAATTGCAAACCATTGCTCATCCAAATACACTAGCCCCAAAAGGATAACTTCCCTCCAATGATATTTGTCAATGAGATGCTTCACCCTGGAGGGTTGTTTGGATGAAATGTAAATGAGATCATAAGAACTTTTCCTTTGTTTCTGAGAAGAGGTGGATGTGCCATCTTTCAATGACCTGCACAGTCATTCCGCATCATTAGCATGTACTCTCATCAGCGAAAGTGTTCTGTGAGAACCATTCCTCTCTCAACACCCACACTTATTTACTCCTTCATAACCTCCTTCTTCCAACAGTTCATGGGAGCAGGAAAAAAAAAAAAAACCAATATGGAAGATGGGGGAAAAGACAGATGACTTCAATGGAAAGAACACTAGATCTGCCAGCCTACCCAGTGGTAACCTAGAGCAGGCTCTACCGGCTCCAGGAGTCAGTTAAAATTTTAAGAATTTGTAAGCCAATTCATAAACACATCCATTCATTAAAAAGAAATATTATAAACTTAAACAAGTAAATCATATTAAAACAAATGTACTAAATATTTAAAATACACTCTGAGTGGCCAGATTGTTATGCTTTCTGAACACATAATAATCTGGCCACTCAGTGTATATCCTATATAATAAAAGGCTAATATGCAAATTGTCCCCTCAACCAGGAGTTCGACCAGTAGGCAGGCCAGCCAACTACCCACAACCCTTCCCCCTGGCCAGACTAATGAGTTTGCTGACCACTGGTCTAGACTTAAGAAGGCAATGGAGAGTTTCTCTCTAATAATGCATATTAAACCTAAAATGTGTCATGCTATTATTGGCAATAGCACACAAAAAAAATAACTAAATGATTTTCCAGTATTTGAAAACTGACTCAATTCAGCAAAGAATCTGCTCAGGTATTGGAAAAGGTCATCAAGAGGACGTGACCTCCAGGTGACCCTGGAGCAGCACCAGGACAACCAGAGGCTCCTCACCCTGTCCTGCCCTGGGAATATACATTCTGCCCACTGTGTTCATCGTAGGGGCCATTTCAAGGACAAAGCCTGGAGAGAACAATGTCTTGTTGAGACCATCTGGATGGTCCATGTGACTGAACCCCATTCAGGCCTCTACATAAACTTTAAAGATTCTAGCAAGGGGAGGGGTTCAGAAATCAATTCATCTTACAGCAGCTTCTATGGAAGTCACCTTGCTTCTTGAACCTGCTCCCTGCCAGTCTGAGTGGCCTGCCTCTCTCTTCATTCTCACCTGGCCCTTCATGAAGGGAGGCAGTTTCCAATCTCAGCAGGGAACGTTCCAAGGTTGCAAACCATCATCATGTCATTGATAGAGTGAAGTTCCAATGCTAGCTTCCCTTTTTAACGTTCTTGTTACTCTTCATAGAAAATAAACATATTAATCAGCACTCATGTCAAAACTACAGAACCAAGGAGTTCATCAAATTCAACAAAAGGATTCTGCCAGAATTAACTGACTATATAGGATTTATAGTTAAGAGCATTACATGTTTTATTATTATTTGTCACATGAGTGCTATGTATCATATATATGATGTATTATATAATAATGTAATATATGCATACATGTTTTGTTTGATATCCAATTATTAAGTGTTTACTATCACGTTACAGTCTTTACCAAAAACTACTGACTTGGAAAAGTTTTTAATTCTGAGTATCACCTTCAGAGGATAATTTTAGGAGTAAAATAAAATCGTGTTTACACAAAAACTTTATATGGGTTGCAAATATTAATTGCTATAATAAATTCAGCCACTATGTCCCACCTCCTAAGATGAGTTCTCCTAAAGACTTGCAGGGTTTGCAAAGATGAATAATGGTTGATCCCTGGCCTCAGGTTATTTACATTCTAATGATGAGAGACACGTGTATATAATAAAATAAGTTAAGGGGATGAAGTGCATTCTGACAGGAAAAAGCAAAGCGCTGTGCAATTTCAGAAAAAGTGACTGATTTTGCCTGGAGCACCACAAAAGATTTCATAGAGAAAGTGGGATTCTAAGACAAGCTTTAAAGAGTAAGATGCATTGGTAGCAACTAAGAAGGTATATGTGGAAACTGGAAGCATTTCAAGCCAAGATATGAAACCTCGAACACATTATCATCACAAACATTACAACACCAACTAAGGACATCATAATTGGACTGATAAATCCCCTGTATTGAAAACTCTTATCCAGTAATATAAAATGGCAAAAATTATATCATTATAGATTACACAATCTAATATGTCTATCTACAATCTTGCATAGTCAAAGGTTGACTAAATATTTATTCAGTTTTTTTCCCCACTTCTAAGCCATGTCCATTTCTAATAGCCAAAGTATGAATTATCCTCTGGCCTTTTCTTTTTTTTTTGACAGAAAAACATTTATGTCAAGTGAGACTTAAAATTATTTTTCAAGAAAACTTTATAGACTATGTCCTACTGAACAGGACAGAAGGGACCATATCTTAGATTTCAAGCAAAGTAGACACAGATTTCAAATCTATAAATACACAAATTGTGCACATGTTAAGTAAACTGTGAAGAGCACATCTCATTTGAGGCTTTTATGGGAGAGCAGAGCACTGAGGCCAGGGAAAGTGAAGCCTTCTACAACGTCCATGGGGTCAAGGACTAAGTAGTAAAGGAAGAGGATCATCTTATGCCTTGGTTTATGTCTTGCATTACTTATTAACGTTCCCTGAAAAGCGTTTCCCTCTTGCTCTTAAAAAAATAAATAAATAAAATGCTGTGACTTTAAAAAACAAGCGACACTTTGAAGAAAGCTTGGCGGGGCATCTACAGAGCCTATCTTAAGGGTTACTGAAAGGGAAATGTCTATTAATCTCTCACACACCAAAGTCTGACACAAAAAGGTCTGTGGCCTTGACCTCAAGTGACAAACGGAACAGACCGCAGGGCCAGCCTGGGTCCCAGGAGGACACATGTTAAGAAAAGCATTCGCCCCACAATGAAAGCACTTTTTCCTCTCCCCTCGCCACGGTGCCACCAGAGAGCCTCTCTCTCTGGTCTCTCTCTAATGACAGCTGTCAGTCTGTTGCTTTCTAAATGCGCAGCATTTCAGCAACATCGAAGCCTAAACGGGAAGGGCATGGGGCTACAATACTTTGTTTAAAACACACACACACACACACACAGCCAGCCCCCCTACCACCGGAGACCCCCGAGTCCTGGGGCACCACCTCCCCAGCTGGAGGAGGAAGGTCAGAACCACCTCGCCCTGAGCCAGGAGTCCGAGCATCAGAACGCGGACATTCCCATTAAACAACGGGGCTGCAAATAACCCCAAAAGAAAGAGCCCCGAGAAACTTCAGCAGAGATGCTGCGGGTGCAAACGCCAGTGGTGCCACCCGGGAGCGGGAACCCGCTCACCCCCCATCCTCACCCCACCCCGCGCCCCGACAGGAGCCACCGGGTCTCGTGGCGACACCCGGCGGGGGCGCGGCGCAGCCCAGCGCGCGGGACCTAAGGACAGCGGAGCCCGCCCTCCCTCGGGGCGGCGGCACCGGGAGTGCCCGGACGGCGGGGCAGGACAGTGCGGTCCGGCCGAGCGGCGGGCAGGAGGGCGGTGGGGGTCCCGGGCAGCAGGAGGGGCAGGCCGGGCGGGCCGGGGCGCGGGGGGCACTCACCAGCTGCAGCGCGCACAGGCCGATGAGCGAGCAGCGCCCGGAGCAGCAGCCCATGGTGCCCGCGGCGGCGTCCGAGCGGCGCGCTCCGGGGTCCGATCCGCGGCTTCCGGCGCCGCCGCCGCCTTCCGAGCGGCCCCGCGGGGCTCCGGGCGCAGCAGCCTCCCCGCGGCCCCGCGGCCCTTTGTTAGTCCCCGCGGTCCCGGCGGCGGCGGGCAGGGGTCCGGGCGTCTGGCGGGGTCCCTGCGCCCCGGTGCGGGTCCGCGGCTCCGGGAGGGGGGCCGGGCAGGGGGCGGGGGGAGGGCGCAGATGGCGAGTGGGTGGAAGTGTGTGCAGGGGAGGGGAGTGCGGAGGAGGGGGCGTCTGGAAAGTGGAGTGGGCTGTCTGCGCTGGGGAGCGCGTGAGTGCGCGCGTGTATGTGTGTGTGTGTGTGTGTGTGTGCGCGTGTGTGTGTGCGTGTGTGCGTGTGTGTGTGTATGAATGAAAGGGAGTGCCACTGAAGAGGATTGGGGATCGGCCTGTCTGAGTAGGAGTCTTGGAGGGGAGGGAGGGAGGGAGGGAGGGAGAGAGAGAGAGAGAGAGAGAGAGAGAGAGAGAGAGAGAGAGAGAGAGAGAGAGAGAGAGAGAGAGAGAGAGAGAGGAGGGGGGAGAGGGAGAGAGAGAGGAGAATGAGAATGAATGGGAAAGAAGGGATTAAGAAAAAACAACTCAGAGACAAGGACAGAGGACCGGGATGGTGATTCCCGGAGGGGGCGGCAGGGGAGGGGTCAGAGGAGGGTAAAGCGGGGCGGGGGACACAGGGTGATGGAGGGAGACTTGTGGTGAGCACACAATACGATGTACAGATGATCTATTGTAGGGTTGTTACACCTGCAGCCTACATAATTTTATTAACCAATGTCACCCCCCAATGAATTCACTAAAAATAGAAAATGAATAGGAAGGAGGGAAGCAGGGTGCCCGGTGGTGACCCCCGGCCGCCGCCGCCGCCTACGTAACTGGGGAGCCCCGAGCTGGGCTTTCCCGCGGGGTGGGGTGGGGGTGGGGGTCCGGGTGTTGGGAGGGTGGTTGGAGGAACACGCAAAGGAGGGGGGGGGGGCGAGGTTTTGCTGAGCTGCCCCAGCGGCAGAGAGGGTGGGAGGTGAGATCTTGGTGTCCGGGGACAGGGGACCCCAAGGCGAGCAGTGAGGGGCGGGCGGGCGAGTCCCCTGCTCCTGGCGCTGGGCGCGCAGCTCTGGGGGCTCCAGGCCGGGGTCACCCCTTCCCCCGACCGTTTCCCGGAGGCGCCCCGGCTGCAGCCCGGGAGGGAAAGTTGGACAGAGTTTGGTTCGGAGACCTGCGATGCGGCAAAGATGCGGCGGCTCCGAGTGCGGGAGTGAGCGCATGGGGGACTGGGATGCCCTCAGCTTCTCTGCTAAAGGCCCTTTCGAATTGCCACCAGGCGAGAAAGAAGAGGATTCGTGGCTTTTTCAACGAGTGGAAAATGTTTCCGGGAGGAGGATAAGTAAGACTTCTTCCTAGAGGGCGTTTAATTGTTTGGAAAGAGCTTGGACCTAAGACCTGGCCTCGGATAGTGAAGGGCAGAGCGGAGGATGTGGCATCTTATCAGGGCTCAATGTCAGATTCCCTGGGTCCACGCGTTGTCCTGGGTGGAACTCGGCAAGTAGCTCGGCACGCCAGGAGCAGGGATCACAAGCCTCTGGCCATTTGTCTCCGAACTTAGCGCAGAAAGCCCGTTTCTAACCCACTGCTGCCCTCCTGGGCCCTAGTGGTAGGTTAGTAAGAAAAGGCAAGAGAGCTTTGCGTTTTTAAAACATGCCCTCCATACATGCAAACTCTGCTCCAGCCATCCTTCAGGCATGAAAGGGAGTTCTGGTTTTATTTGTTTGGCAATTAGCTGGCTTTTTCTGAACTGTGTTTTTTTGTTTGTTTGTTTGTTTGTTTGTTTTTGTTTTTCCCCCAGAACATATATTTATTATAACTTAAAACAGAGGTCTCAGAAAAACTCTTGCATGATCTCTTTGAAATCCTGGTAGGACACAAATAATCTCAGGATTTGTGTCAAGAACGTTCAGTGGTTAGGCTCCACCTCTACCCATGACCTGGGACAGGGGAAGAAATGGAGTCAGAAGCTCCTGACACCCCCTCTACCCCTGCCTCTTCCCCCCCCTCCCCACCCCCAGCCTTTCAGGAATCAGTGAGCAAGGGTTATGGGGCCATGCTTCTTTTCCACATAAGAGCATAACCATAGTCTTCATGATGGATGAAAACAATAGAAAACACTGACCCAGACAAATAAATAATTGAGTACATAGAAAAGGACAGAACAGGAAGCTTGAGATCTTGGACCCCTCTGACAGCAGAAGAAGGAGAGGACATGAATAAAGCTATGTACAACTTCCAGGGATTAGTGCAGCCTCATCTCCAGGGATGCTGAATTATTATCATAATAAACATGATGACCCTTCCTTTCCTCTACATTGTACACTGAGTGGCCAGATTATTATGATCTCTGAACGCATAATAATCTGGCCACTCAGTGTATATCCTATATAATAAAAGGCTAATATGCAAATTGTCCCCTCCACCAGGAGTTAGACCAGCAAGCAGACCAGCCAACTGCCCTATCCCCTCCCCCTGGACCCCACCCATGCACGAATTCATGCACTGAGCCATATATACATATATATAAATTTTTTTTTTTCACTGAGTGGCCAGATTATTATGCATTCAGAGATCATAATAATCTGGCCACTCAGTGTATATGTTTACCCCAATATACATTTATGTCATCATGTAATTAATTAATTTATTTAAGAAGGACCAAGTTTTGCAGCTAACATGCATTGAGTCCTTGCCAGAAACCAGTCTACCTGATTCATGCGTATTCACTTTATTTAATCCTCACAATGGACTATAAACTGGGTGCTGTGAGCATCCCCAGCCAAAAGATGTGGCAATGGGAACAGGGACACCAAGAGGAATGCAAAGGCAGGTAACCTGGTTCCAGAGCTCCTTGATGCATTCACCCAGCTGCCTCTGCAGGTCAGGACACTCCCACCCAACTGCTCCCTGGGAAGTGGGTAGTAACCTGCCTCCATCTCTCCTCCAGAGTCCTGTTGTGATTTCTGGGACAGAGGAAGGTTCTCCTGTGCCTGTCCCTTTCCTGCTGCCCCTCTACTGATAGACTCAGTTTGCAGCTTCTTTCTTGTATAATTTGTCAGTTGAAAATGCATTTGGCTTTCAAAAAGAGGAAGAGGGAAGAAGCAAGGATAACACACTACTAGTAGCAAGCCTGGACATTGTATGAAGCCACCTTTTTTTTTTTTTTTTTTTTTTTTTTTTTTTTTTGTCTCTGCAATCTTTTATTCTCATTTTCTAAATCAAACTGCATCCTAAACTAAAAATCTTCACCCCTTTCTTCTTTGTTTCCTTCCTTTGTCCATCTTGCCCTCAAAAGTCTCTTAGTTGCTTCATTTCTTTGTTATGCTAAGGGCTGTGCTGGTTGCCAGGTTTGAAAGTAAATTAATTACTTCCTTCCCTGGCTTCCAGGGCTTGGAGGTTGGAAGGGAGAGCAGAGGCACCAATGGAGTAGAACCCACTCTGAAAGGGGTTGGCACCAGGTGCGGTCACTGATTTATCTTCCTGTGAGCAGAAGGGAATGTATAAAGGAGGATTGCCTGTCTTCTGGGGAGAAAGAGTAGAAAATGACAGAGCAATGGAAAGAATGGGTGCAGGGGGGAGGGTTTGGAAAAGTTGATTAAAGAGGAAATAATAATCGAAGTAGAACAGCCAATCTGATGGATGGTTGTGTGGTAGGCAGTTCGACAGACTTGAGCAGAGCAAAGGCCCTGGGTGCCTACCAACAGGCACAACTGGGGAAATAAGGACCTTGCCCCAGGGTAACCTTTCCTCCCTAGCATATCGCTGGCATTCCCTTCGCTGTAGGAAACATAAAATCTAACAGGGTACATTAGCTCAGGAGGATACGGAGCAAACTATTTTTTTCATATATGCATGATAGATTTTTTTAATTCATCAGTGTTATCATAATGTGCATAGAAAATCCGCCCAAATTATACCAATGCACAGAAATATACACTTGTTTTATTTTTAAAACCAGTGACACAAGCTTACATTTCACAATGTCATTCTCTCCCTTTCCCCATGCATTCCAGAAATCTAGAGAAGTTTAAACAACCATTAACTACATAATTTCCTTTTATATTTCTGAATGGGAAAATAAGGAAATGAATTGCTAGTGAGGGAAGATGAGTAGTCATTTGTAAACATCACTGATATTCTGAGACAGTCTTAAAAATTAGAAGCGGCGCTGGAGGCCAAAAGCCATCGATTCCCTTTGCATTTACTAGATCCCAAATGTGCCCTCAGTAAGGCCACGGAATCGCCTGAGAAAGAGGCAGCTCACCACAGGAGAAGAGCACATGGCATTCGGCAGTGTCCTTTCCTCTTAGGTTGCCTGTATTACCTCCATAGGGTGCATGTGCTGAACAATGGTACGGAGCTGACAGATTTGGAATACAGTTGTAAATATAGCTCAGTTTTTCCTATGTCATATTTAACAAGCAAAGCGGAGACAGACCCATAGAGAGCAGGTTGACAGCTGCTTTTACTTTCTTTCTTCTTTGGCTGCTGCCAATTGTTAGAGGTCTAGCTAAGCCACTAGGCAGAGGTGAGGAGGGGGATTGAGCAAAAAAGAAAGAAAGAAACTATGGACAGGGACAACAGGGTGGTGATTGCTGGGGGGAGGTGGTTGGGAGGAAGTAGAGGAGAGAGATAAAAGAGGGATGAATGGTGATGAAAGACTTGACAAGGGATGGTGAACATAAAATACAGTGTACAGATAATGTGCACCTGAAACCTGGATAATTTTGTTAACTAGTGTAACCCCCCCCCAAAAAAAAAAATCAATAAAAGACAAAAAAATACTAACAAATAAATAAATTGATTAAAATCACAAGTAAAAGGCATAGAAATCCAATTTGGGTTATGCACAACCCTGAGTACCTGCAAACAGGCCCTTGTGTTTGTGATCAGAGTGGGACAGTGGTTTCCTAAGCAGCACCTCCAGTCTAGAAGAAGCCTTGTTAAGACAGGGTTTGTAGTCGCCACTCTAGCTGTCCCACTCCATCCCTTTGCCTGAATCA